ACACAACTCAGTTACATGTTTATCTAAAGCAAATGTACTATCAAAAACAACTCCGATGTTACGAGCAAAGTCAGAAGGAACAAGGCTAGCTTGAGTCACCAACTTGAACAGATTCCAACAACGGGTCTGGACGATGTTTTGCATGAAGAACCAGCAGTTCTGATTTATCTTGGTTCAGCTTGAGGTTATTAAGCAGCATCCAGTGGTCAATGTCAGCAAGGCATGCTTCCAATCTAGTGCGAGCCTTCCGTAGGTCACCCATAACTGTTGACTTGAATGAGATATAGATTTGCGTGTCGTCGGCATAGAGATGGTACGATACACCATGACGACGCATTATGTCTCCAATTGGAGATACATAAAGCAGGTAAAGGATAGGTCCAAGCACCGAACCTGTGGTACTCCACAGCTCAGAGGACGACTTGACGAGCGGCTCCCTTCAATGTTGACAAACTGTGTGCGATTATGGAGATATGACTTGATGATCAACGGTGTCGAAGGCAGCCGACAAGTCCAAAAGTAAAAGCATGACACAGAAGTCTTCACCTATAGATCGCAAAATGTCATTCTGAACGCTGACTAAGGCTGTTTCAGTACTATGAAAGCATTTATAACCTGACTGAAAAGGTTCATTCAGATGATTGGCATTAAGATACTGATTCAATTGACGAGCAACAACTTTTTCACAGCATTTATCGATAAATGGTAAATTTGAGATGGGTCGATAGTTCTTTAACAGCTCATGGTCCAGAGATGACTTCTTGAGAACAGGTCTAACAAGGGCTTCCTTTATCTTGTCAGGAACGGTATAATGCTCCAAGGAAATGTTGACAATGTTAGTAATAAAAGGAGTCAACAAGTCAATGCACTTATTCAGAAGCGAACTAGGAAGTGGATCAAGAGAACAGGATTTAAGGCCAGAAGGACCAAGTAGAGTAGAGAGTTCTTGAGCTGATACAGGCTTAAACTCAGTAAAGCAAGAGTCACAATGATAACTGTTATCAAGCAYAGAATCAGCATCATTCAAMGCAGCTATTTYKGTGTGAAGGCYATCTTTTATCAAAGTTATCTTTTCTGTAAAGTAGTCAGCAAATGCAGTTGCCAAAGATGCAGCATTGTCTGAAGTTGGTAGACGCACACAATCATTACGATGTAACAATTTGTTAACTGTAGAAAATAATTTATGTGGATCTGATTGATTGTCAGAAATAATGCCAGAGTAGTATGCCATTTTAGCTTCATGAATACACTTGTTGACATGTTTGCATTGATCAGCATACAGTTGGGGTTAAGACTCGTTTCTTTACAGGTGCATGCTCATCAAGTATGTCAGTCAAGACAGAATTATAGAAGATCACAGCTGAAGTGACATCTTGTTGACTGCTAGAATCAACTAGAGATGAACTGGCAATGTCATCACGGAATTGTTGTATATCAACAGATTTTAACTTGCGATAATGGACCTCTTTTCTCTCAAAGGCGGTCTTWGGTAAGGCAATAGTACATCCAACTACATAATGGTCTGAAATACAAGGATCAACCACTCTAACATTACTAATGATCGACTCATCAGCCCTAGTGATGATCAAATCAAGAGTATGATCGTTCTTGTGAGTTGATTCAGTCACATGTTGTTTAAAATTGAACAATTCCAGGAGATGAAGAAATCGCGCAGCTATAGAATCACGGGCATCATCAACGTGGAGGTTATAAAATACGAAACTTAAGACGAGTAGCAAAATAGTGACGCTGGCAGTGAGGCGCGAAGTTCACATGCTCCAAATAATTCCAAGATAAGAAATAGTTTAAAATTTTAAATAATGTTTGAAGAGTATACATTTCAACTCGCCAAAAGTAAAACAGAGGTCATCTTTACCATGCGATAAACCTCTTGATTTCTAAAGGTTGAGCACTTGGGGATCTTGTAATTGGAGAACTTTAAGGTCAAATTGCCGCATATTTGAAACTGCTGTACCGAAAGATCTCCATGAAACCAACATAAGCTGTATTGAATCTTATGGTGATTTTAAAACTATATACATCACAGACATGCTTTACAGCCCGTAAACCAAGTAGTCAGAGGGAGATTATCGTAGGCACACGAAACCCTGACGGCTGGAATCTGAGCTGAGCGAGAATATGATATCTGGAATGTGGTTTTTTTTTGATGGAATAATTTCAGTCTAAATAAAAGTGGTGGTGTACACATTTTCCATCGAACTTCTATCGCTGTATGTCTTCAGGTACTAAAAGTAAACAAACAAGACCTTTGATTCCTCCTCTTCAGAAGAGGACACTGCTGCAGTATAACTCTTTTTTAGTAAATCCATGTTGATATTAGAATAAACATTAAAACACTCATTAACAATTCATAAGCTTATGGTCCAATTTATGCCACCATACACGTCACGTGCATGGACCTTTATACTCGATAAAGTCCTCTTTATTAGCATAAAGACATTAAAGTGGTATAGTGATAAAGACATTAAAACATTAAAAAATGCATTAATAATTCATGAAGAAAACACAATAGAAATCATGACCATGAAGGWGRTTTTATATCKGATATAGATTCGTCTTCATTTGCATAAACTTTAACTTGGATTTTCTCTATCAAACTTGGTTCATTTCGTAAAGAATTCTGTACAATATGAAAACATACATCATGAGCTTTTTTAGCCGTTTACTAAACTCGCAGATCGTGTTTTGTCGGGTCTAAAACCACTCGGCTACGCCTCGTGTTTTATTCCCCATAAAACACTCCTACTCGTTTTTTAAACACTACATAAAGTATCAGGACCGCAAAACCAACAATAAGTACAATCAGGCTCTATACAACAGAAGTAGATGGACCATATAGCGAGCTAAAGGGGTATATTGACAGCTGACAGATACGCTTAACATGCATTTCATTGAAGCATTGAAAGGTCATGTTTGTTTACTTTATTTTAGAGCCTGAACTCCATGGGAAATGCATGGTGTGCCACGGATAGGGACGGTTCATTGGGGGGGGGGATAGTAAAAAATAATAAAATAAAAATAATATCATACAAGCTTTAAAGTGCATATGACACGAAAAAAATTTAATGTTAAAAATGTGTAGTTTATTGGCATTAATAAGTTAATAAGAATATCACACTTAAATTTGTTTCAAAAACGTATTTCTATAGAAATTCAAGAAAATTTAGCACAAGTTGTGACGTCATTTTGTTTGCAAATCTCCAGATTTAGTTGCAAATACATGAAATATGTTTTAATGTAGAATCTTAATTTCAGGTAGTACACTTTTCAGTTTCCCAACATTTGAAGAATACTATGTAAGCTATCAAATGAAGCTGAATAGATTATGCCTTTTGTTGTTATTTTGTACAAATTACAATTTATATTTAGTGCATTACTACCGAATCTAGAGTATGTGTCAACAAGAGGACGTCACAAATTGGGATTAATTTTCTCAAACATCTCAAGAAATAAGCTTTTGAAACAAATTTCATTACGATGTATTTATTGCTACTAACAAACTATACATTTTAAACGCCCGGAGTAGTCAATCCATAAAAATCGATAGAAATCAGCTGATCGTTTAAAATCGATTAAAAAAAATTGGTGTGAGTTCGATTTTTATCGATTTTATCAATTTTTATCGATCAAGATTTGACAGCTTTAATTCGATCCAATAATGAGTGCAATCATATAATCAGCTTTATTTCACGGAAAGTATTCGAAAATATCGATTATAGTGCAATAGATTTTATAACTTTTAATTCACAAGTAATAATATGTAGATCAGGCAGCTAATTATCCAAGTACTTTTGCTGTCTGTTCACTGATCACTATAACAAACTCCTAGTTTGTGCCAAGCTATGGTTACGAAAGAGTAATTTCCGGTGGTGTAAATCCGTAGCCACTGTACGGCCCTCGTACGATCATCGATAGAAATTGTTCAAGAACATAAATCGAAAAAAATCGATATGTATATAATCAATCAATCGATAAAAATCGATACAAAAATTTAGTGTGAGTTCGATTTTTAACGATTGATCGATACAATCGATATCAATCAAATCAGCGGTATCGATTGTTATCGATTTATCGATTGGCAAAATCGATATCGATTTTTATCGATTGACTACTCCGGGTAAACGATGAAATGTTTTCGTGTCATATACTTTTTAAAACTTTGAAAAAAATATCGAGCAAGGTACCTCATAAATCGCTTTGAGACTCGACATGGCAATACAACAATACAAAGAACAAATTTCGTTATTAATCACATATGTTCCCAAAAAGGTATATTCATCATTTACGTCAGATTTGTGTGATTCTGGTCAGTCTGCAGTTTCCTAACCATTTCCCTTCCGGTTTGCAGTTTCACTGAGCACCAAGTATAACATCATCATCATGCATACCTGTGGCACCTACTGTTGGCTGAGATTGTAGCTGCTCTTGTGTCTCCATCAAATGTCCCAACACACTGCTGTATTTCTATCTTTCATTTATAAGAAGATACGTTTTAAACCAACAAAGGTTTTGAAGCCATTTGGAATATATTTGGCTGAGCTACGCACGCTGTGTTCGTTAAATTATCCCAAAACATTCGACGATTCAAGCTAGACAGCCCTCTGCGTTGTACACTGGTTGAATATTTTAACTTTTTTGATAATCTGTGCACCAATTATTAGATATTTGCCAACAAAATTGAACTTCCTGCGAATCTGAACATTTGAGCCGCCATCTTGAATGTGGAGCCAGTGATGGATGATGGGAACTGGGAGCTAAAAATAGAATAAAAAAGAAAAAGTCTTCCTTGTGAAAAACTAAATACGTTTTTGAATAATAATCAAAAGATGTACAAGAAACTAGATCGATAAACATAATCGCCTTACTTGTCAGACAAAAACCAAATGATCGTAAAAACCTAACAGTGAATTTGAATATTAAGATTGGGATCCCTGTGTCGTTAATACCACATATGCAACTCAGCACATTTCGAAGATAGATTGAAAAAAGCTTTGTAAGCTGAAGTTTTTCTTCAAATCTCTTCAATTTTTCACCTTGAACGTGCCTAGACCTACTGTATTCTTGTCTTGTACAACCTTTTTGATAGGAACAGAGATGTTCAAGTGGTATCAGATGATCGATATGTGACTACAATGTGCTACATCGAATAACGAAGGTGGAAGTGTCCTAACATTGCAAGGCATAGACATGTGCAAAGAAACACTTTTATCACGACGGTAAGACTACAGATAAACGAAAATATTGTGAAAAGAATAGGGATTAACTGGTATATGACGGATTTATCGTAAGTTGAACCTTTGAATTGAGATAAAAAAGACCTGAGATCTTTATTAATATTACTGCAGTAATAAGAAGAAAATAGTTTTTTCGCAAAGCGAAACGAGCTCAAGAAATCTAGGAGTTTATGTATGAGTCAATTCCAAAGGTTCCAATCCCCGGGCATTTGACCATAGTCAAGTTCCGTAGAGTGGGAAATTTGACGCTGAATATACGTCCGAACGGGCGGGCATTTGACTTTTGACTACATATAGCGGCACTTTTTATCATATTTGCATATGATCTCCAAAACAACCTTGGCTGTCTTTGTATTAGAGAGAACACATCCCTGCCATCAAATCCACTGCCACGGAAGCCCGTAAGAAGACGTCTATTTAACGGCACGTTTTGTATATTTAACGGAGGCTGGAAAGCAGACAGAAGTATCAAAATTGCAGGACACGTATATCCTGAATCTGCATCTCAAGTTCACAGTAACTACCAGTCAAACTTCTATTTTTTGAATAATTAAAATCGAAGCGTGCAACTAACACCGTTATTGTAATTAGTCCAGTCTGTTTAGAGTTTTGCACTTCGGAATTTTCTGAGCATTCAGTGCCCATCGAGTGACAATTGAGTTTAGCTAGTTTACTTGATTATTTCTGATAAACGTTTTATCAAGATGTCACAAAAAGATTCTCCAATACCGGGAAATTCGCATGGGTTAGGTAAGTAAACCATTTTTAAAAAGCCCATTTCTGGAYTTTTGCGACAAATTAATTTTATTATCGTTTTCAACTTATGGTTTGYAATTTTAATTGTGATAGGATCACTACCAAAGCGTGCTAATGTTGGTGAAAAGGAAATTGAATTTATTTCTAAATGCTACAACGAATGTAATAGCAAAGAGTGGCCTGAAATCCTACAGTACTGCAAAGAAAGAATCCTAGAGGCACAACTCCCTCATCATGTCGTGGCACTCTATCTGCAGAGCCCACTGGCAAGTCGACTGATAACCAAAATGAAGAACATTTTAAAGAAAATGTTGGCTTCCCCGACTGAACCAATAGACTCCATGAAGTATGCAGAGAAGAAAACACCTTCCCAGAGAAGACAAGCAGTGAAGGACAAATAAGAGGGAGGGTATGTTGCGTTATCATCATGCGAGAGCGAGTTTGATGAAAAAGATGACTGCATTGCCGGTACGAACAAGGTATCTAAAAAGAGGAAGGTTGACAATGCAGCAGAAACCCAAGCTGCACATAAGAAAATGTGCGAAAAGGCTTTGGAAACGATGAGTAAAGTAGATGCCGTTTTAAGCAAGGTGGACAAATATCTAGATAAGAATAACTAGGCTATTGAAAAATGGAATCAAATCTTCAGTCTCGACTGTTATAGCGAGCTGGTATATCGTCACTTCTACTAAAAGATTTGTAATTTATAAACGTTGCTGTTGAATAAAACTTCTATAAAAATCTTGTAACACTTTTYAGTGAGTTTTTAGAGAAGTAAACTYGTTGGTGCTGGCCTATCTCTGGCTTCTCAGAAGTTACATATATGAAACTTCTGAAAAGCTGGAGATAGGCAAGCACCAGCAACAGCGAGTTTACTTCTCTTAAAACCAAATATAGCGTTAATAGTTTTGTAAGCACGTTTTAGAATGGCAAGCGTTTTAACGTTGARTTCGTTTACATTCCTGGAAATTATGACAAGTTCACAGAAAGTGCAATAAGACTAGCATTTTAAGGTTAAAACTTCTTAACGCAGATTATTTCGGTATAATTTAGCTGGCAGTGCGGTACGTAGATCATTAGCAATTAGCAAACTCATTAGAATTTTAAACCCCGGTTGTTGGAAAACGTTCTAATCTAAAAAAAAAATCCAAATACCTTAGCTTAAAATCTGGAATGGCACAAGAGAAGTTAGAAAAGCTTTTTTGGCGGATTCCTTTGCGCAGTCTTTTCAAAAGAAAGGTTGAACTTCGAATTGATTACGATCTCACTGAAATCGAATCGCCACAAAAATTTGGTTTCAAAATACAATCTTATCCTTGTCGCTTCTTTGAGAAACAGGGAAAGAAAAGCTTGGAATTAAAAAGAAACTTTTCAAGGTGGATGACAGTACAGAACGAGTAGATGAAGATAAGTTTTTGGAGTCCAAAACGATAAATATGTTTACGCTAATTACAAAGTCAGCAAAGATTTCAAGTCTAGATTCTTATTTAATTCTTATTTCATTCTTTATATAAAGCTATAAATGATAAAACGATCTCAAAAGGTACTTAGCATGAAACTTGTTGGATGTATACAGACTCAGTTTTGTACTACTTTTTAGGCAAAATTAGAGATTCATCGGACTGGAGGGGCGGGCATTTGACCACTTCCTGGAGCCTGAACGGTGGAGCATTTGATCATTTTGTTGGCCCGCATGGTGGGGAATTTGACCA